ATATAGTAGATTAAAAAGCTTAAGTAAAAACAAACCTTTGAATATGTCTGTTTCCATTGTTGTAAATAGATCTCATATTTCTTTGTTTCTTCAGCTTATTACAATTTGAAAGAAAATGTACTATGCTTATTTTCATTTTATAAGAAGTTTTCAAGTATTTATAACTTCTGGATTCTGTTTCCAATAGCCAAATTCCTTTGTAATACGTTTAAACATAACCTGAAGAATTGATTTTTTTTATCGTCCTTCGCTATTAAATTTTTTGTGGCATAATTAAAATAAATTAGTATAATTATCATATGCCGATACATTTGATATCCAGCCAATAAAATACATATCTATATAACAAACAATTATGTCAGTGTTATGACTATTACGTCATTTAAAATTACTTGAAAATTTGATGATTTACTTAAATTTTATTTGTTATTTAAGTAAAAATCACATTTGCCAATCGTCATGTGATTATTCGAAAATTGGAAAGCCTGCTATGCTTAATAAGTCAAGATGTCTATATACTTTCAAAAAAATTACGGAGAATGAAAAAAAAATTTTAATATCATATCTTAATACAATATGTTATACTTGTGGTACTACTTTCAATAATTACTACAAAGAAACTGAAGAAGAATCATCTCGAAAATGATATATAGAAGTGTTGGATGATGATGATGATAATGTTTTATCTGACATGGAATCAGAAGAAGAGACAGAAGAAACAGAAGTACTTATAAATGAAAATCCTACTCAAGAGAATACAAATGTGAATACTAGTAGATATGCATATAATAATATAAATCAAGAGTTAAAAAATATTTTATCAAAAGTATTTGTAAATCCTTCATTGGAATGCTATAATGAAATAGAAAAAGCTTATTATTCAGCCAAATTTCTACCCGTATATTTTAATTGTGATTCAACTGAATATGTAATGCCTGTACCTGAAAAACAATATTCTTATTGTGAAGCATATACTACAGATTCACATGTACCAATTAAAACAGGTAAAGGACTAAATTTTTTGTCAAATAATACTCAATCTAGTAAACGAAGAGAAAAAAAAGCAAAAAAAAATTATTAATATATAATGGATTTAATGTAAATAGTATTAATAATTCAAATAATAATCAAACAATAATAGTAAATGGTATAATAGGACCCCGAAAAATACATAAAAAGGTCACATTTGAGTTTGCTTAAAAAGAACCAAAATTTTCATGAAAATCTTGCCTTTTTTAGATAGTGCCGGCCTAAATTTTATTGTCCATTTTGATACTGCCCAGTATTATCATAATTTCGGCCCTGAAAAGTTGCTTATTTCAGGCCAAAATCTTGCCGATCATTTATGACCTCTATATGTATTTTTTAGGGTCCTGGTATAATAATATAATTAGTGGCTTAGTCACAGATAAAAGAATTTAGTTATGTCACATTATTAAAATTACATAATAAATATATAAAAAAAAATTTTTTGGTCAAAAAATTTTACACTTGGCCGATGTCACATGACTAAAAAAAATAAAATTTTTTCTTTTTCGTAACATTTATATAACTCGTCCGATCATAAGAAATGAAAATTTTTATTTATTTAGCCTTATATTTAACTAGTTTTTTGATTAAAAATCATTTATAATGCCCAAATAAACTTAATAATATTATTTTAATAATAAAAAATTTTTTTATTAGCATTCTAATCAAAAAATTTTAACAAATTTATAGATAACAAAAAAAACTGGCTTAATAATCACCATTTTAAGCTTAATAAATCTTGTTTATTTCACTAAGTTATACTTAGAAATGAAATAACTACTAGGCCGTAGTTAAAAAAACTTTTGTTAAAAGTTTTATTGAAATTAAAAAAAATTTTTCTAATATAAAAATTAGTTTTTTGCGATTTACATAAAAGCTTCCTAAATAACTATTTTTTTTAACTTAATAAACCTTTTTTTTATCATAAAATTATATATATTACTAAGGTTGCTAGAGAAATTAGGGAGTTTTGGCAAGTTGGCGAAATGCCGAAATGGTGAAATTTTGCTGAAACTATATGAAAGTTTTATTAAAAAGTTGGCGAAACTCTGGAGAAAAGCGAAACCTGATGAAACCTATTATAAATGCTAAAACTGCTGAAATCTTGCCGAAACTATAATAAAATTATAGTTAAATTTTGGAGAAACTAATTGTAGAATTTTGGAGAGATTTAAGCATGTAACCTTATTAATATTACTGTTGTTTAAATTGTATTTCACACCTGTCTTTAAGTTGCATTTTTAAGAAAACTTTATTTTGAAACAAATTTTCTTGTATATGCAAAAAAAAAGAGGAAATAATAATAAAAATTTATAATACATATGACAAACTATTAATTTACTTAATTTATATAAGTGTTGTATTAAAAATTTCTTTTTTTACACAGGTCAAAAAATGATCTATCTCACACATATCGGGTACCTATATATCGGTGACTAATTAGGTACATATCGGGCATTTTTACATATTAACAACATATCGGGTACCCGATTTGTCACATAATGCGCAAATTTCAAATATGGTTAAAAAAATGTAAATTACCAAGTGTCCGATATCCAAACTATTAGTCACTTATCTGTTATCTAATATATATCGGTCACCGATATTTGTACGATCTTTAAAAAAATTTGTGTGTTTATTTAATATTATCGTAGTGCGGCCAGAGAATACCTAAACTTCAAACCTGTTATCAAAAGCATATACAAATTATTCAAATTACCGCGATTTTCTGAAATCCACTTATTGTAATTAAATTTCTCATGGCAAAAAAATAAATACGTTCCCCTTTTTTTCTTTGTAAACTATTACACTGAATTTGCAAAATGGCGTATAAGGTGTATTGTACTATTACCATATTAGGAATCTTTCCATATAGCCAGGATACCTGAAAAAAAATAAATTTTAAGGAGATATTTTTTTTACC